CTGCTGTCCTGTTCACAGAAGAAAAACGACAAAAATAAAGCAGAATAAGCATTTTCATACATATAGCAGAAGCATTAAATCTTTCACTTTTTGACTCATTACAGTCACAGTGTTGCAGAGACACCACGTGACCACATAAAAGCTACTAAAAACAACACCATTAAGGTCTTTAAACGTGAACAAATCCTGTTTGAGAAACATCACCGTGGACACAGCTCCAGCACTGACGCACTTTGGGCCATTTTCAGACAAATTAAGGACGATAAAAGCGAAGAGTGGAGCAGTGAGTCGTGAGCACGGCTGCTGGAGGACTCGAGCCCAGCTTCAGGCAGGTGTAGGTGTGTGGCTCTGCCTACGTGTGGCCCTCCAGTAGTAGTGGGGTGGTGTGGACACAAAGGAAACCCCTTTCATCTCTTTCGCCTGAGACGTAAACACCCTTTAATTGTCTTTCCCCTCTCGAGCTCGCGGGGACGGTGACCATGGAGACACGCTCACTTACAGCTGATTCACGTGCGCCGCTGAGCTCGCGCAAAACAAGCCGTCAGCTCGCCTGCGACGCGCTTTCTCTCCCCAAACAAGCCGCTCGTGTCGCACTGAGTGTGTGTGAGGAGGGGCGACACTTACGGGAGAGTCGAAAGAAAAGGCGCACTCGCTCTTGAACACCCGGTCTCCTGTTCTGGGGACCCTGATGGTGGGCATGTACGGGACCAGCAGCTCTCCGAGGTCTGCAGCCATCTTCGCATTCCTGCTTCTCGCACCACAGTGCTGCGGAGCCTCCGGGCAGCGCCTGTCACAGGAGAGGATGCTATTTTTAAAGCACTCCGTCTCTACATTCCTCCGACCAGGGGGATGTGACGCTGAAAAACATAAAAATAAAATGACAGAGGGGTGGAGGCAGGCAGGCAGGCTGCTGCGCGGTGCTGCGCAAAGCTGAAAGCTAATGTTGTTCTTTTGTGTTTCTATTCTTTTTCCTGCCTCCCATCACACACACAGATCTTGGACCTGCGCAGACATTGCTGCTGTTGGCTGCGGTGACGCCGCTGTGCTGCTCACGGGGATGTTTTACGAGAAGGGCCCCTCCCACCTCTGAGGATGATTCATAAAGCCTCCCACATTTACTACAGCATGTTTCCAGGATTCAGGAAGTGCGTGATTATGGAGCACACTTTGATTTTTAGTAGCTGCTGATGATCCTTTATCAATCTGCAGTCGGTTTGTTTAAAAGAGAGAGAGCAGTAAATGTCATTGCTCTGCAGGGTTTTGCGAACATAATAAGTAAATAAACAAAAAATATACTGCAGATGTTTTTATTTTTAATATGTGATTTTAAGTCCACTTATGCTGCGTGTGTCTAAAGAAGCCCTTTGTCCGCATGACCAGGCTCGTCTGCAGAGCTCTGCCACCCGGTGGACGCTCGTGTTCATCGCAAGAAAATATAAACTAAACCAACAGGAATCCAACCTTCCTCAGAGACCTGGAAGACTTCACAGTACAAATAAATGTAAGGTGCAGTTTGTTTTAATTGCACTTGGCTGAAGATTTCGCAGCCCTGGCCAAGCATTTGGATTTTTCTTGATCTTTGTCAAAGGCCAGTATATCCTGGACAGGCTGTCGATGTCGGGCTGATACAGAGACGGACAACCATAGGAGGCTTTCAGAGTCACTAATTAACCCCACTAACTGCAAAATTCTGACTCCTTCATGAAATGTAATTACAGATATTTTGCACATTTGATTTACTCTTCAACTTGAACTTTATTGGATGATTTCAGCTCAGAAGGATTCACACAAACTGAAGACGGGTGGTCTCCGTGGGTTTCCTGCTCTGACACAAGCTGCCAGTCCCCGATCATCTGGAACATCATCACGGTAAAGGTGCTGCATGAACTGAATTAAGACGCTAAAACATGAATGTCAGAGTTCGATAGATACTTTATTCACGCAATGAGGGAAGAAATGTACAAACAGTGAGATTGATGTACAGATGACAGAAACATCTGGATTAATGGTCAGGCGATGACTTGGGGCTGTTGTCAACGAGCTCCTTGTTAAGGGTCGGCACTTGAAACCAGGGGCCGTCTCCTTGCTGCCTCATATGGCGACGCACCTCCAGCTGCGTCAGTCTGTGACAACAAAGTCAGGCGGAGAATTAACACCATGCTTTAGAAATGAGCAACCGGTTAAGTATGGAAGACTAATAATGTACGACGCTCGTGAAATAAAGAATTACATCTGTCACAGCTGCAGCACACACACTTAAACTGATTCCTCAAGATTTACCAATCTCTGCAATTTCAATAACCATCTGCATATTTGTCAGAGAGCAAAAAGACGGTTCATAGGCTCGCCTGCACCTGTTTTCTTTTGGGGAGAGAAACAAAAAACTGAGGTTTTCCACATCAGTGGAAGAACGCTATTATCAAGGAATGCAGCTGCTCTGCACGCCCTCTCAGGACCCCTCCCTCCCACTGCATCATGTTCTGGTGCTTTCCATGACCGGACACACTTAAGAACGGCTGCGCTTTAGCGTTTGCAGTGATTTTTCCATGACAGCAAACTGCTGTTTCCTATTTGTGCTGTAAAGCACATTTGTAAACCTCTCTGCCAGTTAAAACAATCCCATCTCTTGGATGCTTCCCTCTGTAAAACTCAGTATCAAGACTCTGTTGGTCACACTACATACACAGCTAAACACCAGCTGTGGCACATCAGTGTATCGTGTATATGAGCCAAGCAGAGACGTCTTAAAAGCATTTAAAAGCATGTGTTTGTGTTGATGGTGGAGCATGAAGCACACTGGCAGTAACACCCACCTCATGTCTGCTTTTTCCTTTTCAATCTGGACTGCAGCCATCATCTTTTCGTAGTCCTTCACTGGGGAGTCGTAGATGTTCCTGGTGATCCACCTGGTGATGGGGTGCTGAAACAACAGAGCACAAGGACTTGGTGCAAACATAGGGCTGTCCCTTTAGTGCATGTGACATACATTTGTAGCAGTTCAGTGTTATTAGAATAGAATTCAACTTTATCACAAGCCTCCTCAGACAGGAGACTAGCATGGCTGCTATTTTTAGCTCCTTTCCTGAAGTCCCGGTCTGTTCCATTGCACTTGTGCATCTGCAGCACATGATGGATCTCCAGTGTGTCACTGCAATAATACTTCAACTCTAACTTCATTTTGGGGAAAAGGACAAAGAGCCAGAATCTGGAAAGTGCGAGGCAGTCGTCGGTGTGTGGACACAGACTGGTACGTGCTACGTACAGACTGCTTGCTCCAAGTCCAGAGATTATACTCTCACCATCTACAAGTCCGCTGTGGCCTGCTTGAGTCGCAGTGATGGGACACGGGGCCGTGTTGCCACTGTGTACACCTATGTGTCTGTGGAACTGTGCAGGCTGCACTACCGCACCCCCACACCCTCAGGGAGATGAACTGAGCACTGATAACAAGCCGGACGGTCCCTCTCCTCTTCAGTCTGAAGGATGTTGTGTTCATGTTTTCCAAAAAGAAGATTACTCTTTGATTTGTCTGACCACAGGACTGTTTCCCACTTGGCTCCAGTCCATTTTAAACGAGCTTTGTCCTGGATCATGTTCACATACGCCTCGTCTTTACATTATGATGCTTTGACATGCATTTGTTGATGACACGGTGACAGAATTATGTCGGTTTATCTCTGACAGGAGCAAACAGGAGGGACACAAAGTAAGGAAACAGCCCAGGGCAGACGCACACCCAGGCTACTGCAGCCCTTTGGCATACAGGTCGTTTGCACAACCAGGTCAGCTATGCAGGGCTGCATGCCTGGTTTGGATGCAGAGCAGCCTGAGGGCCTGCAACTGAAGGGCAGCCAATATTGATTTTCTCCTTGTCCCTTTGCCCCAAAAGGAGGTTTCTCCAGAATCTCCAGATTTGCTGATATTATTTACTGTGAGTGATGTTCAGTCTTCTTTGTGGTGAGAAACATTCAGTTCTGATCAGATTAGTGAGCCTCTGCTCATCGAAACGCTGCCTCTCTAACATTATCTTCTTATGCACAATCATGTTACTGACCTATTATCAGTTAACTTCATTAGATGTGAATTTCCCCAGTTATTTCTTTTTAGTACTGCTTACTTTTCAAGCTTTTTTTTTGGCCTCCATCCCATCAGTTTTTTGTTAAACCACGTTGCTCTAATCAAATTCAAAATGATCAAATGTTTTCAAATAATGTTTTGAAATAATTTTGGCCTGTTACAGGATACCTGTCAAAAAATAAAGATGCTGCATTGCACATAATGATGAGCCAGCTCTGCCTCACCGACATAACAGACATTTAATCGAGCAACATAACGACGTGCAGTGCATGCTATTTCAGTCGAGGCTTCTTTTAACGCTACACTGAACGGGGCCCTCGGAGAGACTTTTACCTGAGGGGCCCGTCGCAGCACCTGGGTTTGAAAATGTAACACAACAGTCCCATAAAACACTCACGGGAGGAAAACATGATGTTTGGGGGGTTAACAATGCACTGGGGTATAATAACGAATATGCACATATTATGATTACACTTCAAAATAAAATCCGTTAATACGAGTTTGAAGCAACGACAGAAAGAACCACAAACAACCAAAGAGACAAAGGGACGCACCTTGTAGTACTCCCAGTGCTCGGGCTCGTAGCCTTCAGGAACTTCAGCCAGCTCTGCCTCACCTGCACGACGGACATTTAATCGAGCAACAGAGAAATTCATTCCATACGTATTTGAGTGAATCCTGGAAAATATTAGAAGCCGACTAGAACACACAATAAACACTTATGCTTACTCACCGATGAAGATATTCACCCCCGTGACGACGATAGCCACTGGAACACCAGTCAGCAAGATGTAAAATTGCTGAGGGAAAAAATGAGAAGAAAATCAAATATATGGCAAATTCAGTTGTTGATGCGTGCAAGTCACCATCCAAAATTAACCAAGAAATATCTCTGACTTTTTAACTCAATGAACTGACTTTTTATTTTTAAACCAGCTTAAACATTTTAGGCCAGTTTAGTTCTGATGTATGCACGGCTCTCTGCTGCTGGTGCCTTTGAGCAAGGTGAGTAACACAAATGTGTGAGCTGGTTTTTTGGCTGAGTGTAAGAACATGAACACAAACATGGTTACTATTTAGAAACCTGCACTGTGGGAGAATAATAAACTTCCAACAGTACGTCTGAGCAGTCGAGGAAAATATGTTGAGGACTAAACTTCCTTGGTTACATTTCAATAACAAGATTTAGTTTTGTTCTGGGTGAACACAAACATTACGATTAACACGATACAGAAAAGTTAACAACTGCTGTGTATGTACGTTAGCTTGGTGGAGGTGATGGTGCTCTGCACTTACCAACAGGCGCAGAAATCTCCTGTCATAGTAGTCAGAGGGTTTGATGACAAACAGTCTCTTTCCATGACCCCAACGGACCGCAACTGCAAAGCAGGGCACAGTTACTATCATGATGCCTGTGATTGGTTGTAGTGAGTACGCACGCTGCCTCTTCAGTTACATGGAGGCTCTGTCCAGTGTACCAAGTATCTCTGTGATGTATTACAAATGCAAAGTCTATGACCCACCACTGCATCATGATTGGGTGGGTGGAGCTTGTATTTTGTGTTGTTTTTCTAGCAGGCTGAGATGTTTTACATGGTTGACACGTTTGCCCCATCTCCCTTGCCCGATTGAGTTTAGTGCTATAATTACATATTCATATAATTAAACTACAAAAACTCAGATTATGATTACGTTTCACTTCAACAATAAATAATCCCAGATTATTTTTGCAATAATGGCAGTCATCCATTACTGCGGTCATCTTCTTAGTAATAATCTTTGTTTTGACCATATGGGCAAAAATCAAGAATGACCATCACTGCAGCTCTTCAAATGTGTATTCGTGTGGTTGTTCCCTTTTGAGGTTGCCAAGCAGATCGTCTCCCTCCTTCACTACATCCACGAATCTTTTCAGTGGCCTTCCCTTTTATCTGCCTTTGCAAAACAAATCCACTACCTCTCCTCTGTAATTGTCCAAACCATCTCAGCCTTGCTTCTCTAACTTTGTCTCCAAAGCGCTCAGCCTGAGCTCATGTGCTCATTTCTAACCTCGTCCATCACGGTCACTCCCAATGAAAGTCTGAGCATCTTTAACTGTGCCACCTGCAAATCTGCCTCCTGTCTTTTTGTCCATCCATAATAGCAGACCTCACTACAGCCTTGTAAACATTTCTATTCGCTCTTGCAAAGTATTGCATGAACTGTTTAAAACAGGGGTAGGGAACTCCAGGCCTCGAGACGGTGTCCGGCGGGTTTTAGATGTGTCCTTGAGCCAACAAAGCTGATTTAAAGGGCTAAATGACCTCCAGAGGCCTGGTAATGAACTAATCATTTGATTCAAGTGTGGTGACCCAGGGTAAGCTCTAAAACCTGCAGGACACCGGCTCTCGAGGACTGACGGTCCCTGCCCCTGGTTTAAAGGGTGTCCCACTGAGTCAGGTGGCTTTACTGAAACCTTATAATTTAAGGATATTAAAGAACGTGTCGCTATTAAAAACATGGTGAAACGCGTTTAGATAAAACTGCAGACCACAGCACTGCATGCAACAAGCAGATTTATGTTAAGCGTTGACACAGATGACAAACTTTCATTCAAACCCTGTAACCCGACTAATGTTTTACTAAATACGCACCGCTTACTGCAATGAAAAGGCAGAGGTTGAAACTGGAGGATAAACAGTGGCGTATATAAACAGTACATGTGTATACGGAGCTATAATAAAGTCACTATGTCTTCCTTTATTGACACCGGGACAGACGTTAACAGCTAGCTCATGTTAGCAAGCTAACAAGGTCATGAGAAAAGACCAGCAGCCTTCCGGTCCGTCGTCTCATTCTTTAAACAACCGGGGTGTCTTACCTTTATCTGTGCGGGGGATTGCTCGAGTGAGTAAATTAGCCGCAGTATTTCCAGATTTCAGAGGACTCAGTCTGGCTGCGAAAGCAGCAACAGACCTGAGAGCGCTCATGCCCACCATCGTTACTGTGGGAGGACGGCCCAGCAACACGAACTGTGATTGGCCGTTCAGCGAATAAGCGAATCATATTTGATAAGAGCACAGGTGTAGTTTCTTTTCAACTGAAATGTTATACGGGGTTTTATTATTAAATTAATATCATAATAATGTATTTAGCACCATAAAATTATTTAAAAATATATCTTTCTTCTTTTTTCTTTCTTTCTTTTTTTAAGAAAAAGAGACAAAATGCATGCTGGGTAATATGGGAAGCGCTACATCAAAAATGGCGGCGTCCTCATCCACAGGACGCGTTTTGACTCTTTGCAAGCAGTTTCAAAATGTCTTTAGGATATCAGCAGCGACAAACGCGCGACAGGCCGCTGTTAGTTCGCCCAAATGCCAGACTCCTCTTCTCAGGTAAGAGATCCGTTTAACGCTTTCCCCGAAACGGAACAATAATGTGGGTTAACTACGACACATTCAAACTGTCGGTCAACAGCTCAGCAGTCACCGTGCAAAGATGCCAGTGATTGTTTACGTCAGAGAGACAGGTTTCCTTTATCACGCTGAGGGAGAAACCCCGAGTTCCCGTGTTGATGTACTCAGTGGACATTTATGGTTTTATGGCTGATTTAAGACTGAAGTGAGATTTTGACTGCTGTGATCGTGGGGTCTCCATTATGTCCCATCAATACACAGCTTTTAACTACACATGTGAAAAGTAAGTCACAGCCTGAAGACTAACTGACAGGTCAGTGATGTTTGGACAGAAGAGGCTCCAAAGAACTTCAAATGATCCGAATTCTTATTTGACGTTAAAGAGCTTAACATCAAAAACATCTGCCCTGGGATTAAACCAGAAAGTGCTGACATGTAACACTTAAATTTCAAGCTGGAATTCCCTGAATTCAGTTTTTGTTGTTTGGGGTTCAGCATTTGTTATCAGGCTTACTGTGTGCACTTTCTTCATGTGCAACAGGGAGAAGTCTCCCATCGTCCCCCCATCCTGGAGCAATCCCATCAGCTCTCCAGGTCAGCATCGAGCTCTGCACACAACCATCAGCAGGAGAGGACTAGAGGAGTTCTTTGATTCACCTGAGAACTGGGGAGAGGCCAACGTGAAGTCAGGTAAAATATTACAGCACGCAAAGAGAACATTGTCTGCAGGTTTGATTGTAGTTTGAATCAACCTGAATGTAGATCAGTGTAAACACAATCTGCTAAACACTATTTACCAGCACGATTTGTTAAAAGTATAGTAAATACTTTTAACAAATTGTTTGTGGTCAGATGTGAGTTTAGAGTGACATGATCGTTTTACTATTGCACTAACGAGGTTGTTATAACTTTGCACTATTAGGCGCACCGTGGACCGCCAAACAACTGAGAACAAAGAGCAACGAGGACTTGCACAAACTCTGGTGAGCTGTGTGGAAATGAAGCGTCTCCGTGGAAACATTTAAAACATTTAGCGGCGTGTAACCCTCTGATTGTGTCTCAGGTACGTCCTGCTGAAAGAAAAGAACATGCTGCTCACACTTGAACAGGAAGCAAAAAGGCAGCGGGTCCAGATGCCGAGTCCAGAAAGAATAAGAAAGGTTCGTCTCATGCTGAGCTGATAGCTGAGCTGATAGCTGACATGATGTGGGTGCCAATGGTTACGTGAGGCTTTCTCCCCTCCCAGGTTGAGCGGTCCATGATCAGGCTAGAGACGGTGGCGAAGGAGAGAGAGAGCGCACTGCGTCTGCTGCAAACAGGACAAGAGAAAGGCCGACCAGGAGCCTGGAGGAGGAACATATTTGGATATGTGTACTGGTGAGGGCAATGGTGGGAAAAAGAAATGTCATACCTTTATCATCTGGTGTTTGCAGGACATAGTAGGTCCATATATACACATGTGGTCCAAGCTTTGTTACATGTTTCATTCTCAGATTGAGCCTGAAAAATATTATCAGTGTTTTCTTGGATTGAAATAAAGAGTATTTACCAAGAAACCAGTTTAAGCTGCTTTCAGCTTATGCTGCTTGATCCTGCTGGAAGCAGTCATCAGAAGATCAGCATATTGTTGTTATAAAGGGATGAAATGATCAACTATACTCAGCTAGGCTGTGGCATTTAAATGGCCCCCACACATTATACCGCCACCAGCTGTTGATCCGAGGCAGGATGGATCCATGACTTCATGTTGCTTATACCAAATTTG